CAAGTCTGTTGGACCCAGGTCGCCTCGCGGAAGAGGCTTTCCCACGCTCTCGGGGAGGTTCCAGCCTCACTCCGAGTTGAAACGGCTTTGCGAGCAATCTCTGCCAACAGGCAGAGCAACTACTGGACTCGGGGAGGCTTCCAAGGGGGCGCACCTGAAGTGGGCGAGTAAATATACCCCGAGGAGACTGAGCCTCCCCCCCTCACCTATCCCACCAAGCACCTGAGAAACGAAGACCTGCTGCGTTCCCCTCTACCCGAGAGAGCGGCCGCCCGGGAGTCAACTTGGCTCCAGCATTCCCTCGTTTGCACGGGACTGGGGAAGAGCCGCAGCAGCAGCGCCCGCCAGGACCGGCAAGCGCTCGCTCGCCCGCCGCTGCCTTCCTTCCCTTCCCAAGCACGCAACGGCGGGGGAGCAGGAGCAGCAGGCAGCTACGGGCGGGGAGATTTGCAATTTTCTTTCCCTCTGATGGGTGCCACCGCCGCCTCTCGCCCAATGGCAGCCGCTCTGCGCGCCACCACCACACGTGCTTTCCAAGGGGCACAGCAGGTGATGTGCATGCGGCCCCTCCACTTTCCCCAGGGCCCCCTCACTAGAAAGGTCCTAGCTACGGGCCTGGGTGAAGGTTTGCAGTAGAATGTGATGCATGCAGGAAAGTTAAGACTAGAAGTTATATTTTGTGTTTTTCGCTTGAATTGATAGTTTCGATGTTCTGCAAACTGGTAACATAATTTTGATTTAGGAACAGGCGGCATATATTGAAATATGTTTAGAAATCTTCAGCTGGGGTGAATACTGCCGACATGGGTTAAAGGGAAAGGTTAAGAAGCAGACCATACCCTCAACAAATGGGATGCTTTTGATAGGTTGTAAGCTAATGCCAGCTCTATTATGTCTTAAAGGAATAGGAATATAACAGGAGCTGAAATATCTTTATTATGAGCTTAAACAACAGTAAAATTCTCCTTTTTGAGCTGCCATTTGTATTGTACTGTTCTACAGACAAACTTATAAGCTTGGTTTAAAGCTCAATTAAGAATGGGCTGAAACTGGAGAATGTTTGGTTAGAATCTTAAAGGCAAATGAACTCTATTGTTTTGGGATTAAGCTAATATTAGAGCTATATAAATATTTGCAAGTGGGAATTGGAAATATCTACTAGAAATGCGATAATGAAGTGAGAAACCCAACAGGACTGGGGGGGAAAAACCCCAATTTATTGTGAAACAGATGCATGGAAAACTAATATGGTTTAAGAAAGATCAATGGGTTAAATAAATTGGTAGCTAGGAGAATGGAATATAGTATGAAATTATGTAAGTAACCATAGTGGCATGGAAACACTAGAGTTACTGGATTGGGGTTGGTTGGTGGTGGAATTATGTGTATGTCTGTCTTCTTATGTGTAAAAAACCTAATAAAAAAGAGTTGTTTTTTTTTAAAAAGCTGGCTTTAGGTCCCACCGCTGATTTCCTGAATGGACGCAGGGATGCACACCGGAACAAGTGCTTGGTGGCCGGGCGAGTTAATCGCAGAAGGCGAGCTCTACGCTGAAATGTGAGTGACTGTATAAGCGAAGACACCAGAAAGTAAGCTGAAAGCCCCCCCGTTAACAAATTGGGGGGGACTCCCCCTCAAAAGAAAAAAAAACTGAACTGAAAAATGAAGTTACGGGGGGGGCAGACTGTAAAACTGAAATAAACTATAAGGAGCTTTTGAGAACTTACCCAAGCATTTCTAAAGGATCTTGAGAATTTGATAACTTTTCTAAAAAGTAAACAATCCTCAAACATGGTGCCTCCAAGGAGGGAGGAGAAGGACAAGCAACCAAAACTGAAGTTCCCTGCCGGAAATGCCAGCACAGCGAGTTCTGTTCCTAGACAGGACACTACCATAGACTTCCAAAGCATGCTGACTGAGGCTCTGCGCCCTTTTCTGGAACAAATGACATTGCTCCATAAGAAGTTTGATGCACAACAAACCCAGTTAAATTAATCTACTAAAAAGACAGAGAAAATGGAGCAAGAGCTTAAAGAAGTGGATGCCAACACCCAGAAGCTTAAAAAACAAATGCAGGGGGTGGAGAAAAAGAGAGCAACTGATGAGGCTCAACGTTTGCAGCTGTAAATAGAAAAGGCAAGCTATGTCTTAAGATTTCAGGGGGTTCCTGAAGCAAGAGGAGAAGACTTGAAGCAGATTATGTGTGATGCATTGGGGCCGGCTGCAGATTTAAAAGCGGATTATCTACAAAACAAAATAGATACGATCTTTAGGTCATAGTCTGATGGGATCCTCGGTTATGAGACAAAAACCAGAACTACACTTGAATTGCATCATGACTGGCTTAGTGCCTTTGCATCAACCTCACCTCCATTCTACTCCATGCTTCTTTGCTTTACCCAGCTACTTTCCTTGGATCCTACATTAAAAGCAACCTCCTAACTACACAGGCCCTGGCATGATACTTGTCTGGGACTATTGGGCAACCCACTGGAATAAATGCTTATCTCAGCCTTCTTGACCCTTGTCTATGGTTTTGCTTGACATCACTTTCACTCTGTCACAGGACAGGTAGTTTGCAATGTGCAGTAAATAAGTGAAATAAATATCTACTGCCAACGACACATGTACATGTGCCAGCTGCCAGAGAACGCACTTAAATTACCATGTATTCACCTCATCTCATCGTTTTTGATCTTGATTTGTTATATGTTAACATGCTACCCAGTGCAGGATCTCTTCTCTTCCTGCAGTGTCTTTGGGGTGTGGGATACTCGCTCTTAGGGAAACACTCTGCTTGCAATCTGAATAGTTGTGAAAGAGGGAATGTCTCAGGGATCCCTGTGTCCTAGCACTACCCCCATCAACCAGTGATCTGGTTAAAGAGAGGACTCAACATGTGTACATCTCTTTAGCACATGCTTCACGCTTTTGGAACTCTGACATCACAGCAGCACTAACTTGCTGAGGAGGGCAATGCAGTAAGCAAGGAAGTAAAAGTTTTTTATAAACAACCCGAACTTGTAAGATTCATTAGAATGTGTGGAGGAGCCTTAGAGTAGAGACCACCTTAAGTCTAAGGCAACAAGGAGGATTATAAACATTTTAAATAAATAAATATCTAGGAGAAAGGCGGGGAGGATCAAGGAGCTGAGCTTGCTGGGATTTTCTCAAGCAAAAGACAGTATGCCTTAAAGAAGCTTTAGAAAGTCTCTGTAACAGCTCTGACCAGAGAGAGGACATAGCTTTCATTTCCTAAATTGCTGCATGCCACTGAGCTTGGAACACATCGTGGAAGCTGAGGCTTCAGCCCTCAAAGGGCTTACAAATTCCAAGCACCCCAAAACCAAAACACTGTACTACAGATCTTTTTACGCTGCTGGACAACTGAGGCTTTAACCGTTACAGACCAGATAAATATTCTATGACCTAGTTTTCAGCATATTTATTTCTATTTATATAGTTACAAGACACAGTCTGATTAGTTAACAAACAGATTGCATATTAACAAAACTACTCTCTCTGTCAGAGAATGCAATGGAGGGAACAAATGCTTGTCTAAAATGGAGGGAAAGCACCCTCTGTTGGGGCAAATGCAAAATGACTGGCTCATAATTCTCAAGGCATCAACTTGCATTTTAACACAGCCTGCAATTTGTGTAATTTCAATAGAAAAAGACATCCAGGGAAGGGGTCCAGTTAACTTGATCATGAGTTAGCTGAACTGCATTAACAAGATTTTTAAAAATATTCCTATGCTGAGCTGATGCTAGACTACAGTTACCAAACTACAATGCGGAACAAATTCTATAACAACTTTAGAGTCCCATACTAAGAGCCAATTTCCCTGCTTATCCAGCTGGGGTGGGCAAGTGGTCGCATACCCCTCCCCACCTCCTGGGCCATAGGGAGAACCACACTAATAGTAATAGAGATTTTGAGTGCATTATTTTTCTTCCCTTTTTATAGGGGGAAGAATCAGGTTAGTTAGACCTCTGCATGGAGTTTCCAAGTCATGTTTCTTTGAGACCAAAGCGGAACTGGGGAGGTGGAGAAGCTTGCTCTTCCACCCTTCAAAGACAACTGTCAGCTAGGTAAGTGTACAAATCTGCTGTATGTTGCCACTCCTGCTGCAACACAAATCTCTGACACTAAGATTTTCTTGCTACAGCAGACAGGGCCAAATTAAACATGATAGCAGGTGATCCATGAACCCCCCCCCCTAAAAAACAGCAGCTATGGAAACCACAATTCAGATCAAGACAATGGCATGAAGAAGAGAGATGGGTTTATCCTCTCCCAAGCAATGTTCCCTCTAAGCTTTGGAGTCTTGTGAGCAAAAATTCTACTTTGTGAGCTACTGGCATTAAAGTTGTGAGTGAGTGATTTGGCTACTGCATCAATTAGTTTGCTCTGGAGCCATCCTTCCTGAGCGACGACAAAAATGGGTGAGCTGGAGGCTAAAAAATGGTGAGCTGGCTCACACTAACTCAGCTTAGAGGGAACACTGCTCCCAAGTACTATTTCCTGACCACAATCAATCAAAGATACCCTGGAGATGCTATTCATCCAAAAAGGGAAACTTTAACCTTTGGTAACTTCCACCACTGCCATGAATATGGGAACATGGGTGCTACTAGCAGCTGAAAAATCCATATGATATTTTTTTCACCAATTTCCTGCTGTTACATATAGACTGGCCTTTAGTACAAAGCTGTGTGGGTGGCATTCTTAAAACCCTCATTTCCTTGTTCTTCCTTCCTCTTCCATTAAGCCTTGTGCATGACAGAGTTCTATCACACACTGAGTCCCCTAGAAGAAAGAAGAAAGCAACAGCACCCACCTCAATAATCTGGGAGTCCAAAAGAGTAATATCATTTTTCCTTTTGGGTCCAATTCTTGAACACTTCCACAGTGCTCTTGTTGTTAATCTCCATTTCATCCACTCAGTCACTGTTACGCAATTCAGTATGCTAATACTACTGAAAGGACTGTCTTACCTGGAATACTTTCAGCTGTTGATTAATAGTCTCCGTTTCCATTCCAACAGGACCTTGGGACTCTTCATGTTCTTCTGCTTCCCCAAGCAGCTTGGAAAACTCCTTCAGTTTACAGTAGAACTCTTCAATGCGATGAATAGTCCTCTCTACATGTTCTTCTCTAGCTCTTGCTCTATCTAGCAACTTATTGCATTGCTTATTTAAAGCCTCCAAGTCTCTCTTTATGCCTGCCAAATCAGGAGAAGCTTCAGCTTCGCTTGCTAACATCGTTTTGCAAGTCTTGTTTGCATTTTCATTACTGTTTATTAGCTCTTCCAATTTCTTCAGGAAAGTTTGGATACCCTCTCGCTGCGACTGCAGCGTAACCAGGTCCCTACCCACAGAAGCCATGCTGTCCAGCACATCATCAAACTCCGCAAACTGAGAAAACATTTCTCGGATGGTGTTTTGGAAATGACCAATTCCCTGAAGTTTAGTTTCCAGAAAGGAACATTTATCTTCAACCTGCTGGCTGATGGCACTGTATTCTTCTTCTAATGCTTCTGCTTTCAGCAAGAGGTCAGAAACTCCTGATGAATCAGAAGCATCCACCACCAGTTCTTGGGCAAGCTTTTTTGTCAGGTCCACTTGAGGCTTTAAGGTCTGAAGTGCTTTCTGACGAGTTTGCATAAGTGTCAAGTGTTTGTTGCTGTAAGTCTGGGGTTTCAAGGTATCGTGAGCTTCCAGCTGCTCTCTGGCATTCTGAAGCTGCTCTTTAACTTCCCTGGATGATTCTTGAAACTCTTTTAGTCTCTGAGCCATCTTTTCCAGGCCCTCTCTTTTTGTGTGTAATTGTTCTTTAACTGTATACACCTCCTGGAACAGCAGTGCCTTTTCTTCTTGAATAATATCTCCGTCTGTCTCACAGGCACTGAGCAACATTGCTGCCGCATTGTTTAACAGCTCCACCATTCCTTGCTGTTTGTCCAAGTCCTTCTGCCAGGCCTTCACCTGAGTGATGGTCTTCTCTAGCTCAACAGGGTCTATTCCTATCTTGATATCAGATAGGTTGCTTTGGCAGTTTGTTACCCAGTGCTGCAAAGTCTCTACATGCTCCCGGTATCTGAGGGCTTTCCCCAGACAATCATTCAACTTGTCTTGATTTTCTTTAACTTGCCTATTCATTTCATCCCAGTTCCCTTTGAGCATGTTCAGCTGGGACTGCAACTCTGCCCTCTCGCCCCCTTGAGTCTTCTGGAGCAAGCTTTCGCCTTCTACAGTTATTTTTTCATAGGAACCAATCTGTTCAGACAAGGTCATCTTAAATGCTTTCTGATCGTTAATTAATGACTGCAGAGTCTCCAGATCAGCAGAGATAGGACGAGACTGATTCTGTTCCCCTTTCTTTTTGTCCAGCCAGGCCTGGAAGTCCTTAGACATTTGTTGGAACTGATGAGAACTAACATAGGTTGACTGGAGGTGTTCAATGTGATTGCCTGCAGAGCACCAAAAAGAAAATGTTGTAAAAATCCATAGCTATATGCAACTTTTATTATTATGGTGTTCAGAAAAGGAAAACACATAGGCTCTAAGAAAATACACTCTGATGCACATTGAGAAACTGTATTACATTTTGGGTTCCATCCTTTATCACCGGGAAAGGAGTGATTTTTGCTGTCATACTCTTTCCATGGCAATCCCAAGACCCTGAAAAGCCACTGCTGAAGGCTGGGGAACTTTTAGGAACAGAGGTGGTGGTGCATTCTGGCTACAACCAGTACGGGGAATCTGCAGAAATCATCTCCCCACAACTTCTCAAGGATAGGCTTGAATATTCCCTCATTCCCTCAAACTACAGTGGGGAAAAGCTTTATCCAAAGAACACAGCCAGTCCATTATGGCTAGAACCCTGGATGAGCCAAACTCAGAAATACAGCTTACTATATGACTGAACAAAATGCTGGATCTCCTAATCTACCTGCAGGACTGAAATTGTAGTATGAGTGAGAAAAGGTTATGTGAATCTATATTTCTAAAATTACTTTTGCCTGCAAAGAAGCAACTTGGAAGAGAATCCGCGGCCACTGACTCACTGGAGGCTGTTTTGTGGCCGCAGAGGTGGGGACGGCAGGCAGTAGGAATCCTCATATTCCTCCCGCAGCAGGTTCTCCCTGCAGCGACTCCAGGGCAGGGTGGGCAGGCGGATTTCATCATCAGCCAGACAACTGCTGGTTGTAGGAAGCCCTCTTGTGAGGCCCGGGGCTGGTCTTGCGGGAGTGTTTGCTTCACCCTGCCCAACTAGTGGGTACCTAAAAGGCCAGCCTGCTAACTCCCCATCCCTGTTTTTTTCTTTGGTCTCTCCTCCATCCCTCCCTCCCTTTTGTTTATGGTTTCATGTTTTACTTGTTCTTTGTTTTCTCACAGCTTTTGCGGCAGTGTCATGCATAGGGCAGGATCCATTTTGGAGGAGGCTGTGCCTGTGTGCCTGCCTCCCCTGATGGGGACCCCTTTATGGGGTCTTGGGGGCTGAGTCTTAAAGCGGCATGTCCAGCTTGGGGGCAATTGCTCAGCTCCACTCCCAGGTGGCAAGAGTTCCACGCAGAGGCTTGTGCCTGTGTGGGACCACTGCTTGTTACTCCTGGTTCCCCCACCAGGTAGGCTGGGGACGAGGTTCTTGGCTGACATGTGGGTCACCCGATGTATTGTATCCTGCCGTATGCTGCGCCAGTGCTCCTTCTATTGTAATCAATAACAGCTGTGGCCTGTTTTACTCCACAACCTGGTATTCACTGTGCTTTAATGTTTTATTCTCCTTTCTTGCCTTCCTCCTTGGCAGCCCCTATCTGTCTTTAGGACCACAATTAAATCATACTGTGGGAATCATCCCTTGATTAACTCTTGTGAACTATTTTCAGCCATATCTGTTTAGTACCTCAAATCTGGAGATGCAAGGCTTTGGCAATGTCTATGAAAATAGAGTGTTGCACTCCACTCCATACAATCTAGGCTCTGAGGATCCAGCATCCAAGCTCTGGAGAAAATTAACTTTTGGTACAACCCCGCCCCCATTACGTTTATGGTTTTTCTTTAATTCTTTCACTTGGATACCAACCTGCTTTTTGTTCCATCTCCTTAAAGGGCTTTATGACACCATCTAATTGCCTGGCAAGCTCTGTTTTCAGGTAATCTTCTGCCACCAGTACTGACAGTTCTTCACAAAGGGTCTCAGCAGCATTTATGTTTGGCATCTCCTCTTGTATTCCTTGTTTCACTTCTCTGGCCACTTCCAGCTGCTGCTTCACAGCATCAGGGTCTGTACTTCCAGACAGGCTGCTGCTGAGTTTATTATCCAAGGCACTAAACTTCTCAGAGAGGTTTTTCAGACAGCTTTGGTACTCTGTGCTTTTGACAATGGTTTGCTCAATTCGCTCACATCTGCCACTCAGCTGTCCTGTTAAGGCATCCCATTTCTGTGCCACAGCTGCCAACTGCTGTCTCACAGTTTCATGAGAAGGTAGATGTTCACCTGGTCTCTTCAGAATCTCTTGTCCTGCTGTGGTTAACTGTTCATACTGTGGTTTTCGAGTATCAAACTCTTTGAGCAAAATCTGAGGTGAAAGTACATGGAAATTAATTGCAGGATAGACAGAAAAATATTCCAGATTATTAACAAAGTATTTGTCCATTCAGATATTTACCAGACCAGAAGAACTGCAACTTGTATTTTAGAGGAAAAGGTGTGCCTACTTCAGCTCTTCCATAAAAAGTTCTTCATGTATGATGAAGTTATAAAAAAGTAATGAGTCACTTTTTTATAATTAATCACTTCATGTGATGGTTACTTGGGTGTGAAGCAGCCATCAATGATCATGTCATAGATATAGATTTCACAACACCTGGTAAAATCCTAGTCTAATTCCTTGGCATGCGACTAACCAGAATTGTGGGATTATAGCCTTCTGCATGGATCCCACAGATGAAAGGGAGAATGATTTTTGCCAATACCCCCTTTCTGCTTCAGACCTCCAACTCTAATTGTTGCTGTTCCTGTGGTTCCATTTCCCTTTTTTTTGGGGGGGGGGATTTGGGACTGCAGTGAGAGGCAGAGGGTATGAGAATTATATTCCATGGATGGAAATCCCTTCACAACTAACTTGAACTGGATGGGTGCCATTATGTGTAATCAATTTCCTCTGAAATCAGTGGGACTGAAACCTATGTAATAAGAAGTGTTTAAAAAGTAATTTCAACATAGCTGTGAACAAGTAACAGTGCGATTAAATAAACGTATCATGACCAACAGTACCTGTACAATCTTTTTTTAGAAAACTCTGGTCATTCTTTGGTCCCTAGGTATTTGTTATGACAGCTGTAATTCTCAAAAGAACAAACTAGAGTATTTTTGACTCTTACTGATAAATTGGTATTGCAAAGTTCTGCTGCAGGATCCTATGCCCACGGCGGCTTGTTGTTGTCATCAGTATGCAGATGACATCCAGCTCTATCTGCTGTTGGGCGGCCAGAACCTGGCGTTACAGGCTGTAGCTGGGTGGCTTTGGCTGAGCTGACTGAAACTGAATCCAACAAAGAAGGAGGTCCTGTGTCTGTGTCGGAACAGTCCAGGGTTAGGGATCCCACTCCCAACTGCTGATGGGGTGCCACTGGTGCCAACATCAGAGGTTAGGAGCTTGGGAGTGCTCTTGGATGCCTTCTTAATGATGGAAGCCCAGGTAGCAGACATTGCCAAGTTGGCCTTTTACCATCTTTGGCTGATTAGGCAGTTGGTTCCCTTCCTCGAACGCAATGATCAGGCAACAGTGATCCATGCGATGGTCACCTTGAGATTAGACTACTGCAGTGCTCTCTACATGGGGCTGCCCTTGTCCCAAATCCGAAAGCTACAGAATGCGGTGGCCAGGCTGTTATTGGATCTCCCTTTGAGGGAGCACATTCAGCCTGCACTGAAAGCACTGCACTGGCTACCTATAGCCTACTGGGTTCACTTCAGGGTGCTGGTTCTTACCTATAAAGCCCTATATGGACAGGGGCATGCATACCTGAGGGATCACCTTTTCCCATATGTTCCCCAGAAAGTACTGCATTCTGGATCGCAAAATCGCCTCACTCTCCCCAGCCTTAGAGACATCAGGCTGGCCAAAACCAGGGCCAGAGCCTTCTCGGTAGTGGCATCGCTTTGGTGGAACAAGCTCCCGGAGGATAACAGGGCCCTATGGGATTTATCACAATTCTACAGGGCCTGCAAGACGAAGCTCTTCTGCCAAGCATTTGAGTAAGATGCCATATTAAACTGCTAACATCAACCTAGACCTGATAATCCATCCTGGCTGCCTGCTTTAATATCCGTGCCGATACTGAGGAACCTAGGAACCAGACACCAGCCATACAACTATTGCTGATTTTATTGCGGCTGATTAGAACAATCTTTGCCATAAAATATACGTAGCACCTTTGGAATGTGTTTTTATTATATTAACTGGGTTTTTTGTTTGTTTTATTGTTTTTGTGTTGCCAATGGCCTTGTAAGCCACCCTGAGCCTGCTTCGGCGGGGAGGGCAGGGTATAAATCAAATAAATAAATAAATAAATATTCTATGAAATAATGCATAGAAGGATCTAATGCTCACCTGAACTTGCTGCTTTTGCGTATTTAACATGTTGGGATCAATTGACAGTGGTCCAAGCACACTGACCATTAACTCCTTCTCCACCAGCCACTGTTTCAGCTGAGACTCTACAGTCTGAAACTGGGTCAGATAATTTGATGATTCTTCCAGTTTTTTCTGTCTATCAGTTGCTACCTGGATGAGTTCTTTCCATTTGGAATCTATTTCAAAAGAAAAAGAGTACTTCCTTAATGACATGATACATGTAGATAGGCCTACTGTAAGATCACAGACCAGGTCTTCTAAACCAGCAGACAATTTGGTATGGTGTATTTTTACCATACCATTAAGGCTTTTCTATCTGCAACTCACCTATAAGGTAAATTCGATGGTCCACAGGGAATACATTGCCTATCCTACTGTAAGTCATTTTAGATAACAATCCAAAACAGAGAGCTAGTTTAGACCAGTTCACAACGATCATCAACGAAAAGGGATCAGGGATATCCTACAACACACCAGGAACAGCTGTCCTGCCTCTGGACCTAGTAGCAGTCTATGCATGGATAACACATGTGCATAGTGTCTTCATAGGCTGAACCATACAGTCATTAACCAATATTAGGCACTTTGGATTGTCCACATGTAGATTCTATGCACACATGATGCTGTATGTAGAGAATTGGCACACCTGGAGCTGTGTACAGTGAGCATGGTACACAGTGCATGATCCTGCTCGCCCATCATATGTAGCCTGTAAATTCATCCAGACAAGACCAGTATTTTCCGATATTTATACTTAGTATAGGAAAGGGGAGTTATGCATGAAATCCCTTATTCCACCCACTAGACTATGTCCCGCTTGAAACACCAGTTCATGAATCCACAAATCTTGTGAAATGACTGCTCATGTTACTGTGGAAGATTTTCCCATGCCACTGCAAGCCCAGGTGTTATGTGTATTGCAAGGATTACTATAATCACACAGGGAACTATTTAATGCAAACAAGTTGTACATGGAGGAATCACTATATGCTTACATTTCCAAGAGTCCAGCAAGGCAACGTATTTATAAGCCCAGAAACAATACAGGAAAGTATCTGTTTTTCTTCCCATGATACCCCAGCTACATCAGGGATCCCCAGTGTGGTTCCCATGGGTGCAATGGAGTCCGCTGACACCTTTACTGATGGCTGTGTTTCTAGAAAGTGGGTGGGGCCTGATGGGGCTTTCTTAGCAGGGCTTCTGACTGACTAGGCAGATTAAAAAATTTTCCCTATGACAGCAGCTGTCACCACAGCATGTGCATCTTCAGTGTGTGACTCAGGGTAACCCAGGGCTATTTTTGGGCAGGAACGCACAGGAACGGAGTTCCAGCTGGCTCCCAAGTTTGCCATGCCCAGCAGGAACTCATTAGCATAATAGGCCACACCCAACATCAGAAACTCATTAGGATTGGCTACATTAGGGGTGTGTGGCCTAACATGCAAGGAGTTCCTGCTACAAGAAAAGCCCTGGGTTTTGACAACAAACAAGGTAAACAGAATAAGAAGCAAAAGGTGGGTGTGGCTGGATGAGCACACTTCTGGTAACATGGGGGTGTGGCCTAATACGCCAATGAGTTGCACTGTTAGAGGTGTGGCCTATTATGCTAATGTGTTCCTGCTGTTGGGTGTGGCCTATTATGCTAATGAGTTCCTGCTGGGCTTTTTCTACAAAAAACAGCCTTGGGGTAACCTATGTGTAAGCAAGAAAATGTTTTTCAACAATGTGTTCATTTTAAAAGGCCTCCTGTTAAACAGAGCTTCAACCAGAAAAAAGTTGCTATTAGAGTTATGCATAACTCTACTATGTTGCATTTGTGGTTGGCTATTCTTCTGGTGGCAGCCATTTTGTGGTTGGTTCCACCTCTTGCAGCAGCCATTTTGTGGCTACACCCAACAGTCTGAGTCAGAAGTCTAAAGGGGCCTGTGGGCTCAAAAAGGTTGGGGACTCCTAGTCTACAAGAAGGAGCACACTTTTACAAATAAGAAGAAGAGATTGGATTTATACCCCATCCTTCACTACTCAAAGGAGTCTCAAAGCGGCTTACAATGCCTTTCCCTTCCCCTCCCCACAACAGACACCCTGTGAGGTAGATGGAGCTGAGAGAGGTCTGAGAAAACTGCCCTTGAGAAAACCTCTGAAATAACTTATGACCAACCTGGTCACACCAGCAGCTGAATGTGGAGGAGTGAGGAATCAAACCCGATTCTCCCAGATTAGAGTCTGCACTCTTAACCACCACACCAAACTGGCTCTCCTCCTTGATTTGAAAGTGTTTTGCCATATACTTACAAGATAAATATGGACAAACATGACCCAATCAGAAGATAAGTATAAAGACAACAGTCATGAGAGTCTGTAGGTCAGACTCTCACGACTGTTGTCTTTATACTTATTTTCTTACTATATACTTATACATTTAGACTTCAGTTATAATACTAGAACTCAGGAGGCATTGTATGATATTGATTAGGAACAGAATCTGTAAGTATTACTTCACACAGTGCAAAATTAACTTGAGGAATTTACCACCAAAGGATGTACTGATGGGCTGCTGGCTATGATGGTTTTAAAATGGGATTACACAAACTAAAAAAGGACAGGAACATCAATGGCTAAACAAAACCTCCATGTTTAGATGCAGTGTACCTCTTGGGGGACTCTAAGCCATCCTTGTAGGCTTTTCTGGGACATTAGCAAACAGTGCAGAAAACAGTGGCAGTGCAGACAACAGGATGTTTGACTAGATGAACAACTGATCTGATTCTACTGAGCTTGTTTCATGTTTTCTTACATCAAAAAGTTGCTAATTCTTGTAGTTTTCCTTCATCTATGCTAAGACACAGTTAATACTGTTTCAGACGTATATGATCTTGGGGTTTTCCTTAACTTTTTTTACTGTTTTTGTCTGTTGTTATATTTTGTCATCTTTCAAGTACCACAGCTCTTGTTATATAAATGGCCACTATGGTCAGTGATGGCTTGCCAACTAGCAATTCTTTTGAGGCATCACAACACCCGGAGGAACTAGGAAAAACTGTTTTACAAACTCATTGTCCAAACATGGTCATTTCTCAATTTTTGGCAAAAATATTAAGGAAGATATTTTAAAGAACAGCCAAAAAGCACTAAAAACCTCACAACTGACAGAAATGCATCATGGCAGTGAAAAGACGATGATGAAATACCTGCAGAACAATCCCATGTCAGTTTTGTGATAACAGTGCCATTGATTGGCTTAATTACTTCAAAAATTACTATGTTCATCCAGCAACAGAATTATAATTATTAAAATAAGTTAAACCATGAAATTCTTTTGAGGCAGTAATGCAGAACAGGGCTGCAGTCTTGTACATTCTTAAGCAGCTGAAATGCCATTGAAATGGAGCCTTAAACTTCCTGAACTAAATCAGGATATCAATGCAATTTTAAAAGAAATGAATAGATATGTGCTGAGTTGTGGCCCAAAGCTCTAGCTTGAATAAGAGTGCACCAAAATAATACTCTTGCATGTGGCAGTGCAGTTAGTGTTGTAAAGACAGTATAGGATCGCTAGGGGTAAAAGAGAAGCAAGTTGTGGCTATTAGGATTAAATGAATCAAGCATATTGATTTCTAGCCCAGTCTGACGCCTACAGCAAGCACAATGTAATACCTATTTTATCCAACATCTGTTTCCATTTGGGCGCCTCGGGAGAATCTGGGTTCTTCTCCAGCAACTCTGTGACTCTGTCTTTGAGCTCTTGACGTTTATTCTCATTCTGTTTCAATTCTGTTTCAAATAACTACCAAGAAATAACATGTTAGGGCTTAAGAACACATAGCACACTTGAGAGAAGGGGTGCTTCACAGAAATGGCTTCCTTTTGAAAGAAGCTAGCCAAATTCAGCTCTGCTATAAATGATGTACCCCTGGTAGGCATGTTTATGAGATTTCCATCAAAATGTTGCACAAAGGACTAATATACAGTAGTCACAATGGGCAAATAGATGGTAGTTCAGTCTCATACATTATTAAATAGACCCACCCCATTAATTTGAACAGGAAGCACTGTTTAAAAATTTATTATCCTTAATTGATAGTTTACAACACAGAAAGAGACAAAAGCCACCTTATGTTGCTCCACTTGTTCCTTAACTGCTTCACCATCCAGAAGAACAGCTTCCCATTTTGCTGCAGCCATATCCATTTTCTGTAACCACTCCCACATTGAATTTGATTCTTCTTGGACATTCTGCATATTCGAAAGCATGGATTCCAATTCTGCTCTTTTTTCTTTCAGTATTCCACCCAAATCATCATAGTTATGGCTTACAGTTGACATATCCTGTTGAATACTGGCCAGTTCTGACAGGGAAGAAGTGGACATAAGTTTATTTAAGAAAACACAAACTTTTTACTCAACATCAGACAGAGATACAAATATATGTTAAAAACATAAAGTCCTGCATGAAATAATAACCACAATAAATTCATTACAGTCACTTCTTGCTTACATCACCAGTACACAAAATAAAGGTGGGTTAGGAACAGTCACTGGACTACTGGCAGTAGAAAGAGGGGAAATTTTGCACAAGGATTTGAGGAAGACTATCGCCCATGTCACATCATATGTCGTGTATGCAGAGAAGATTCTGTAGATGTCCCCTTTGAGGGTTTGGGGATACGACAAGTGGCACAGTAAAACTATCCTAACACATTTCAGTCTCCTATTAATTTAAAAAAATCAAACTGCTCATCAAAGTCTTACTCAAAGGCATGCTTATTAACCCAGTCATTTAGAAGCTGTTACCTCAAGACTGAGCGACTTATTGTACTTAAAATGAACATTTCCCCAAAAAACCTTATTCATCTTTGGGTATTATTATAGTCTCATTATTTTATCTATGACAAAAAATGCAAAAGATGCTGATTAACTTCATATGGGCTTCAAAAAAGCCAAGGCTTGCATATTCAGCTCTTCCAAAAGGGCATGTTCAATGCCCTGAAGTCCTGGTCTGCTGTTATGCCTCTTGTTTGAAGTATCTTGTCAAACAGATTCAGCTGAACAACGATTCTGATTAGTTTATGTTAAAACACAGTTGTCCTAAAATTGGAAATTTACCTCCTCTGTGGTTCTAGATTTTCAGCTGAGAAATTACCGTATTTTTTTGGACCACAAGACGCACTTTTTCTTCCAAAAAAAGTGAGGGGGAAAGTGTGTGCGTCTTATGGACCGAATACTGAGCCCCAGGGTTCAGAATATTTTTTTCCCTGTTTTCCTCCTCTAAAAACTAGGTGCGTCTTATGGTCAGGTGCGTCTTATGGTCCGAAAAATACGGTATATTCATATTATTTTAAACAATGGATGATTGAATGCTAAAGAGGCTGAGTTCAAGTTACTTCTTAAAAACTGTATCGTTAACGAAACATCTTTTGTTAAAACACTATGGTATACTTCCGGACAATGAAAATTATTGGAGATTCTCAAAGAACTGTGGACTTCGTATATATGTTAGGATTGTCCAGCCATTCAGCAATACTGGAAAAAGATAGTTACTATAATCAATTGAATGACAAATTATGACCTTCATTTTTGTTAATTCAATAATATCCTTGATGTAGTAATATATGTACTGGCTTGTATGAAGTGACTAACTTTTTGTATTTGTTACTGTCCTTTTCTTTTTTTATAATAAAGTTAAAAAACCCTCCGTTTCCTTGTTTTGAATTAATCAATATATTTTCCTATCATTTAGAATATTCTTACTTCAGCAAAAAATACTAATTGCAAGATATTTATTTTAATCAACCTTCCTATCATTTCAGATGTTGTTGTTCAGTCGCACAGTCGAGTCTGACTCTTCGCAACCCCATGGACCACATCATGTCAGGCCCTCCTGTCCTCCGTAGTTCACTATTTCCCAATGTTCATATAAATCCTAGAGTCTAGCTAATAGATCTAACAGATTTAAGAACTGATGGTGAATCTATTGAATACTTTCATATTCATTTAATTAATGTTAATGTTCTAATATTAGACATAATAAGTATGTCTAATGGAATTCTATTGTTACTTCTAGTTGTCTTAAATGCAATTATATCTAATAGTAATAATTAAATAGTAATAATTAAATTAGCTACTGCTTGCCTCCATTCCTGCAGAATTTAAGAAGGATCCCTGAGCTTCCTTATATTGCCCAGCTACTAGGAAAGCCTCAGAATGCACGCAGCTCTTTTGCAACTGATCAGTTTCAGTTTATTTCTATTACAGTCCTTAGACCAGATATGCTTACAGATATGTATGTATGTGTGTGTGTATATTACAGATAAAGCATTCCAGAAAATTTAAAAACTAATATAAATTTTTTAAAATATAAAATAAAACACTTCCAAGTAAAATGCATCCGAGACTAGCATACACTACAGTGTAGTGGTTAAGTGCATGGACTCTAATCTGGGAGAACCGGGTTTGATTCCCCACTCCTCCACTTGCACCTGGCTGGATGACCTTGGGCAAGCTGTAGTTCTGAAAAGAGCTGTTCTTGAAAAAAGAGCAGTTTCTGTCAGAGCTCTCTCAGCCCCCATCTACCTCACAGGGTGTCTGTTGTGGGGAGGGGAAGGGAAAGGAGTTTGTAAGTCGCTCTGAGACACCTTTGGGTAGTGAAGGGCGGGGTATAAATCCAATCTCTTCTTCTTCTTCTTCCTACAACTAACCGCTAAACAATTTCTGTGACCTAAGTATCACCTTACAAAACCTGGCTATTAGATGAGTTATCTTGGGATGTTTGTCAATTAAAGGAAATTCAAGTTTAGTTTTTTTCTGGCAGACCTGAGGTTTTTTCCTATCAGTGGAGTGATAATCTCTCTATGTGCCACCTCATAGTGTGGGCATTTAAAGAACATATGTTCTAAAGTCTCTATCTCCCTGAGTGGGCAGGTGCAAAGCCTTTCCACGTAAGGAATGTTCTTATATTTCCCATCAAGTACAGCAGAAGGGAGGGCAGAGCATCTAGCTAAAGAAGAGGCTCTTCAGAGTTCCTTACTTCCGATGATATTAGGTAATCTCCTGGCTCAACTATATTTTTAATACTTGCCCTCAGATCAGTTCCAATAAATGGGAGGAGGAGGGGGAGGAGAAACCTCAGGCAAACCAAGCTTTCTCCTTGCTCTCAGCTATGGGTCATCATTGTTCCTTCCACTCTCTCTTTCTCTCTGTTTCATTAGATACCTAAACTTTTTCCCCCTTTGAAACACATCCTTTTACAATCTACACTCCATTTTTCGCCCAGTTTTGCATTGCATTACCTAAACTGTGCAGTACCATCCATTTTCTTGTGCCCAGATCCCTTAATCTTATTTTCTCTCAAAAAGGGGAAAGAAACTGTGGAAGGAACATGTGATTATGACCAGGACATTCATTCGTTCATTACCTCCTGAAAGGTAATGAATTGGGAAGGGGGCGAGGTTGAAGGGGCAGCTCTCTGTGGAGATTAAAGTTGATGCAGTAGGTCAGTTGCAAACTGCTTTTGACTGTAACAATGGCTGGCATGGAAGAAATTCTATTCTGTATTTTAGCAAACTGAATAAAAGTGTGCTATTAAAAGACATTTTTTGTTCTGCTACATTTTAAATCCCGCCCTCCCGAGTCCTTGACTGTAATTAACAGTCGTCGTCGCCCCCCCTCCCCCCGGTCATTCCTAGCAGGATGGGGAGCTTAAAGTGAAGACAAATTGAGGGAGTGTCTTGGGGGAAAAAATCATTGATAGCTGAAAGCATTGGAACACCAAAATTTTCTGTTGCTCTATGCTTCTATGTATGCATGACGCTGAGGAGAGAGTGTTACTAAACAGACTAGGATTTCGGTATTCATATGTCACAACAAGCTACACTGAGTACAAACCACAGTTAACAAGCTAGAATCCCAGTTTCACATTCATTAACCAACCATAATTTCGGGGAGACAATTTGCATTCAGAAATCATGCTAAAAAGAAATTTACCTTGATGCCTACCCACAGCTCTTGTCACATTTATGGATTTGTGAGCCATTACTAGCTATTACTCACCTTTGTTTGTCAGGAATCCATGACTACCTGCAGTACCTCCTTCACCATTTAATAGTGTTCCACTGATAGCTGGAAAAGATAAATGTGAATTGCAGAGCTTATATCAAACCTCATCCACCTGGGCTTCATCAGTATTTAAGTCTTTCCTAACAAATCTAAAGGTAAATCTAAAGGAGCTGTGGTGGCTCAAGTGGTTAAGACGGCTGTGGAAGGTCAGTAGTTCAGCAATTCGAGACCCGAGTTGCCGCATGATGGAGTGAGCTCCCATCTCTAGTTCCAGCTCGTGCCAACCTAGCAGTTCGAAAGCAAGAAATTGCAAGTAGATAAATAGGTACCACTTCAGTGGGAAGGTAACAGCGTTCCATGCGCCTTGGTGTTTAGTCATGCCGGCCACATGACCACGGAAACGTCTTCGGACAGCGCTGGCTCTTCGGCTTTGAAATGGAGATGAGCACTGCAACCCTAGAGTCGGACTCGACTGGCTTTCGAGCAAGGGAACCTTTACCTTTTTTTAACAAATCTAAAAGCATTTTTAATATAATTGTGCATATTTCCACGGACACATAGAATTAGCTTTTTATTTGCAAGTAATTAGTGCACTAATTTTTGTATCTTAGTTAAAGAAATCTAAATAAAGAAATCAACTTGGATGGTTCAGACAAGGTGAGAGCCTTTTTCCAAAGAGCAGTATTTAGATAGAATGCTATCAGAATGTGCCTTTGAAGGGATGCCCTGGCAAATCTAACATGCGACCACGTTGTGGGACTCTCACAAGCACATGAGGCACAATTCATGCCCATTGCTATGGGTCATTTTGGTTGCACACTGAGTGCATTTTTAAAGAGAGCTTTGGTAGACTTGTTAGGCACCACAGTGGTTAAGAACAGTGAAAGAAAGCCAAGGGGAAGGGGGAGGTTGACGAGAGCCACCTCACTCACAATGAGGAATCTCTCAAAGATCAAGCTCAGGGAGTTGGGAATCCACAGAGAATGGAGCTAAAGGTCAAGAAAAACTCCCAGAGAGAAGGAAAGGTATGAAATTTGACGAAAGATAAGATTTCTAATGCAGCAAAGCTAGGACGATCCTATGCATGCGGTGGCAGAAAAGGAACTGAGGGGAAGGGGGGTGCCCTCCTCCAGAGCATGTGACAGTTTAGGCAGGAAAAAGTCGTAATGTCGGCTCCAGAGGTGAAGGGCTCCTCCCTATAAGCTAGGAAAATTCTATCCAGTGCCAGTCCGCACACAGGTGCAGTCCCAATGTGTGTCTGCACCAAAGACGGAAGATGAACTATGCTTCCTTCCTGTTCAACAGAACTCTCTCCATTCACAGGGATCGAGAGCTAGTTCCTATGTTACATCAGCTGTTTGGGACTCTTTTCAGCCTCATGAAAGAAGACTACTTGCACAAGCCTTGCCCGAGCTAGGATTTTAGGGTCTGGAAGGAAGCATGGGGTTGTTCTAACCATCCACCCCTGAAATTATTTGTATGGAACAGTAGCAGGTCCATACCTTTGGCAGAAATACTCTCCTGCATTGCTATCCTGAACTTAGGCCCCCAAGATGTATCCACATGGACATCTCAGTTCATAAATAGATAACGTATGTAAAGGTAAAGGTTTCCCTTGCTTGAAAGCTAGTCAAATCCTACTTTAGGGGGTGGTGCTCACCTCCATTTCGAAGCAGAAGAGCCAGCACTGTCCAAAGATGTTTCCGTGGTCATGTGGCCGGCATGACTAAATGCCAAGGCGCACGGAATGCTGTTACTTTCCCTACCTGTTTATCTACTTGCAAGTTCTTGCTTTCAGACTGCTAGGTTGGCACGAGCTGGGCCAGAGATGGGAGCTCGCTCCGTCACGTGGCACTAGGGTCTCAGACAGCTGAACCACAGACCTTCCGGTCTGCAGCTTAGCATCTTAACCTCTGAGCCACTGTGGCCCCGGATAATATATGTAGTGCTTTTCTCATGTTCCATTTCTTAAATCTCTTTATTTTTAGAGTATCCCTAAATAGGTGGTCTATACTATTTCCACTATACAGAAGAATAACTAAGAGATGAAGGAAAAAATTGGCCAATGCCATCAGTGAACAGAATCCAGTTCCCTCAAGTCCAAGATTCCTATCAACTGCACTACACTGGTTTAGCCTCTTAGAATGATTAAAAGTAGATTCTTCATAACATCAAACATTTAGGATATTTTCACACACTGCAGAATCCACATGCATTCTTTGGAACAATTTCACTATCGGTACAATTGTAGACATAAAGCCATAGTGATGTAGTGATAAAATGATAACTTGGGGCAATTTCTTCCACAGCTGTTTGCATACAGGTACACATACTCATGTACAAAGTGTATAGATAATGCATTAGTTGTGAAGGTTGTGTGCATATAGAACTTGCTGCTTAGAGCTGGGCCCCCTGATCCCTTTTTTGTTGCCCTTTCCAAATGCTTTAAAGCAGCCGTTACATACCTGTTTGTGCAACTGTCTTGGTGTACATGTATCATGTTTTCAGTTTCTGCACTGATGCACAAAACAATGCATAAAAACGGCAAAGAAGTAATTACGCCCTTGTTACAATATTACTATCTGAATTAGGATCTGTGATTGGATGTATTGTGGGACTGGATCCATAACGAGGAATTGCCCTATTCATTTATACTGCAAACCTAGCGGCTATCCAATAATCCCTCTGTTCTGCGTTTACCAGTTCCCA